AGACCGGCTGTAAAAGGAACACAGAGGAGGGACAGCTTACCTAAGTTGGAGGTCAGGAAAGCATAATAACCATTAGAGAAACAGTTCATCCCATTTAATTAAGCCTGATTTCAGAAGATATTAAAAGAAAGAAAATATGTACTTGCTTTGCTCATTGCATGAAAACTGTTAACTAATTGCCCAAACCCCAAATTAAATTACTATTGCTTCGACTTCACTGAGGTTCCTACACGAGCTGTCCTCGGCTGGTTTGGCCACATTGCACTTGGTAGATGAGAACACCTTTACTTGGCGTATGTTCTTCCTGCTCTCCACTGTGAAGGACTTTGGCAGCAAGACTTAGAACAACCCTCAATGTTTGCTAAGAGCTCACCTGTTACACCACGTTTGGACAGCTATCTTTGTGTATTTGGATGTCTTGGAAACCGTGGGCTGTGGCAGGCAGGACTCTGTTTCCTTTTGTCTGTGTCCTCTGTCCTGAGCTCTTCGTGCTGTGCTAGCAGGCATGATATCCATGTTATATAATGACAATATAAAGGTACAGAGTGTCCAAATGAAAATGTCCAGGGAGGACAGACGCTTCTCATGAGCAATAGACCAAGGGTCAGCACCTTGCTAGGCAGGTGCTTATGCTGCTGAGAATTCTGACTGGAGCAGTGTCATCTAATATACATGTATATAAAATAGATGTGTGGATGACTTTATGCACAGTTTTATTGTCTACTAATTTTAGAATCTTTGGCTCTTACTGTAGCATGCAAGAGGCCAGAGCCATCGCTCCCCCTAAGCTGAGCCAAACCCCTGGTTCTCAGGTGGGCTACAGAGTTGTTTGCAGAGCTCAACACAGGTCTATCATCTGGACAATAATGAAAGCTTATTTTGTTAAAGCAATTTAAATTCAAAATATTGGGGAATCCAAATTGAAAATAGTTTATCACTACTTTATATGTTACTAGTCTTGTAACCAGTGTGTTTCGTTGTCATTCATTGCCATGAAGCTGGGTGTGGTGGTGTACACCTGTAATCCAGGCGCTTGGGAGGCAGGGGCAGGAGGATGGGTGTGAGTTCGAGAACAGCCTGGGCTACAAAGTTAGCTTAAGGCCAGCCTGAAGTACACAGCAAGAGCCTATCTCAAAAAGACAAAGATAAAATAAAATAAAATTGCTACTCTTTCTCCCCCTAACTCTCACAAAACAAAACAAAATTATTATCATGTAGTGGAAGTATAGTTGCTTATCATTTTTTTGTTGTTGTTTTGGTACTGAAGATTGAACTCAGGACTTTGTGCTGGCTAGGCAGGTGCTTATGCTGCTGAGAGTTCTGACTGGCACTTGCTTTTCAATAAACACTTATAATTAAAAAAAAATTGAGAACAACTGTATTCCCATGGAAGGTCATAAAAAAAAGAGATATACAAAAGTGATCTCATGCTCAAG